GGAGAGGAACAAAAGAGATTCATAATCGAGTACTTAGTGTCTCAAAGTAGATCAAGATGCGGTCATGGCTTCCCACTGGCCTCAGCTGAGAGTGTTCCGGTCTATTGTGTTTTGTGAACTACCTCTTGGCAGCCTTAAGGCAGCTATTGCATCTATTTCAAGAGCACTTGTTTAATGCCAGTAAACTGCAAAACAGATTCTCTTGTCCATTGATAATTGTCCCCAACTGCTGGGAGCTGAGGTGGCTGGGCTTTCTGCCAGCTGCCCTTGAAGGCTGTGATACCTGCTGTGCTGTCCAGATAGTGTAGTGATAAGAGTTTGTATTGAGACACACTATTGCCTTTTCTGAGCTGTGAAACAAACGTGATCTGGTGGTGGACAGAGTGATCTCTAAAGGCAAGTGTTTAATCCTCTCTTGTTTGCTTTCTTAAGATTAAATAATTTATGTTTTGGCATCTTTATCAGCAGCTGTTCACTACGGAGCCTATCAGCCTGCCCCAAACAGTGCAAACTCCTTTATCTTCCAAGTGCCTGTCATGAGTTTTAAGTTGAGAAAAAGGAGCCTTGGCAGTTCAAAAGAGAAGGGCCTTGACAGGTTTTGAAGTGTGAAATAAAAATAGATCAGACAAGCCTGTGCTTCTAGCTGCTTTTTGCATCCTTACCTCAACAAAATGTTTACCAGTTATTTAGAAAGAGTCACAGGAATTAGGGGGGCTTGTGGTGACCTCGGTGCTAGGCATATTGCTACCCAGAGCGTGCTAAGATGGTTACCTTGGGTTTTGTGGTCCTAAGCTGGGGTAAAATACAGGACGGAGGAGTGAGGAAGGTGTGTTGTCCAGTTAGAGAAGCAGGGAACAAGTGCATTTCTGTTTGAGTAACTGAAAAGGCCTGGCCTGTTCCTTCTTCTCTCTGCTATTTGGCCCCAATGGCCTCGTCACCTGCATCCCCACATGCATGCACCTCCCTGTGGCTGGGCTTTGCGGGCTGGCTCTGCTGCCTGACCCCTGAAGAGGCCCATCTGACAGTGCTCACCAGCATTTTCAAGGGGGATGCTGCAGGCGGGCACCTCCCTCAGCCCTGGGAGCATGCCAGAGGGCACGCTGTGCCAGCTAGCAAACTGCCTGCTGTGAGGGGTGCTGGGGAAGAAGCTGCTGTCAGCACAGATTGGTGGAGATGGGAGTTTGCTGCCTCATGCCCTGCCACTATGTGACTGCAGATCTCAGAAGGGACTAAGCAACCCCAAGAGGAGAAGGGTTTTCTGGGTGTGTTTTATAAAGCCTGGGAAAAATTAGATGTTGGTGAGGTGTGATATAGCTTTGCACACAATGACCTCTCTTTACAGAAGACTACTTTTGAAAGGTGTGCTTAAATATCTCACTTTGAGACCTATTGTGAGACTGATCACCTGGTGGGAGGTTGGGGGGAGGAAGGGGCTGTGATACTACCCTGTGCAGCTGCAGCTTTCTCCCTGCTGCGTGCCATAGGTCCTATCACAGGCCAACCATCTGCATCCTGCACGGAGCAGAAGGCTGGGAAACTGCAAATGATGGAGACAGCCTGGTGTATGAATCTGATACTGAAGTGTGTGTACTGCTTGAAGTAGCTGAGGTTACAGCCCTGCACAGTATTGAGGGGAGTGTTCAGTGTGACAGGGATCCATCTCTCCTGCTGTGTGTTATCTAGCAGGAGACAGAGGCTCACTGCAGGGCAGTCCTCTGCTGATTTAGGAGCATAACCAAGCCAGTCCCTCCAGGTATCAGTGAGAAAACCTGAATTAGCAACTAATCCCTTTAATCCCCTTTGAGAGCCCTGAGCTTTCTCATTCAGTGCAAGGAAAGGCTCATCTGGGTTGTATCATCCTCTCTGGTTTGTGAACTCAGCTTTTATGCAAATAGCTTCCTCTGGGGTTGGGGCTGCCAGGTCTGTTCCTCGAGCATGCATCTCATCTGTAGCGGGGCACAGGGGCACTGCACAGCTCTGGAGCTGGATGCACACTACCATGCTCCCGCAAGTCCCTCACCTGTCAGCACAGTCAGGAGCTGGCAGAGAACAGCTGGGTGTGCTGTGATAGTTTCTCCACAGCTAAGTTGCAGCCCATCGGAGTTTGTCCAAGAAGCAGTGGCAGTTTCCTAGACCAGGACCTCATAATTTGCATTTGCATGCATTTATTCACAACCCGTTCTCCATGGGGAGGTTTCTATGGCAAAGCAACCAAGTGTGTATGCAGGAATAAACACAGATCCCATAACTGCGCAGCTGAACCAGTCTGTTTCAAGCCATACTTTATCTCCAGCTCCTGGAGTTGCCAACTGGCAGCCAGGCATCACCAGTGACTAGCACAGAATTCCCTTGCAAGGGGGTGAATGTCTCATCTCCATCCTGCTGATTAGCTCCGACCAAAACCATGGCTTTCGGCAGGGCTGGAAGCAGGATGCACAAATCCTCCCTGGGCTGGGCAAGGGGCTCTGCAGGGAAGTGCTGTGTCAGTGCTGGACTGCACGCTGGGGGTCTTGCCTCATTTCAGGAGGGTGCCGCTGTTATGGAAAAGCTGTGAAGATGCCCTGATGCCAGAGCCTTACAGAGACAGCGCTCAGAGCCAAAGATCAAATGTTCAGCACCCCTGCTCCCTCTTTCTAGATACGCCCCTGACTCACCAGGCTGCTCCAAGCCTGCATTTAAATGCTTCGTGCCCGAGTTTTCTTCTTGGCACAGAGTGCTGTGCTGCTTAGACTGTAAGTTTAAGCAGATCTTGCTGACATTTGAAATGTTTTTCGTTTTTGCTGAAAGGTATTTTGGAAGGAAAAGAAGAAAAAGAAAAAAGTTAATACTGTCTCTTCCACAGCAGGGGAGGAAATAGATACCACACTGAGAAGAGAAAAATGAGTTGTGAGAAGAGGGGCAGGCGGTGAAGCAGCACAGCCCCTCCCCCAGTAATGGCAATAGCCACTTGAGCAGCTCTGTTTTGCCTTTTGCAAAACCATCTCATGCTCCCCAAATTTGCCATAGAAATTACTCCACTTCTCCAGATTCACTAGAAGGGCTAATAAGTGGGTTTGGGTGGCAACTGTGCAGGGGAGTATGTGCTCCTTTCCCACCTTGGGTTGTGCTGGGGTCTGGCCACATTTGCATGCCCTGGCCAAACATCCCATTCTGGAGATCTCAGCCTTTTCTCTTCCGCCTCCACTGGCATGGGGCAGCTAGCACCTCACCCTCCCTATATTTGCTTTACCTTGTTGTATCTTCTGCTCTTTTTGGTCAGCAGGACAGAGTCTTTACACCACTTCTGTTTGCAAGTTAATATGAAGCTTATGAAGTCCTGCTCCAGTGACTGGAGTGCAAACAGGACTGGGTCCAGCATTTGCAGCATCAGGTTCTAATACTCAGCACAGTGTCTCTAACCCCAGCTTTCTTCCTCGGGACTGGATTTATTTGGGGCTTTTGGTAGTTGATCACAGACACCGATACCTTCCAGTGCCTTCACACTCTTAGTCCAAACAGGATAAATCACCTGAAAAATAAGACCAATTTGCTTCTTGCATGTCTTGTAAAATTAGCAAGGAGCATGAAAGGTGTATTTTTTTCATGTGAAATTTTGTGGCTTAGTATATGAGAGTTGCTTATGTGTTGAGACACCCAGAGAGAATCAGCAGAGGAAGGCAAAGTTACCATTGTTAATTTAGGAGGGACAGGATTTTTATGGGGTTTTTAATATGTCTGATTTCTTTAACTCTTTCAAAAACATATCTGCTCTCTGAATTCCTGTGGGGACAGTTAATTGAGAGGACTTGACCTATCTGCTACAGTCTATTTGTATCAGTGCCTTGCAACACAAAGGGTGGCAGCCTACCAGAGATGAACATCCATTTCATTTTCCATAAAGCAATGAACCCCTCACCAGTGTGAATGGTACCTGCTGATCCTCTCCCACACTGCTCAGGCACTGAATGAGGACTCCTGGTCCAGACTCTTGCAGTGTCTGGGCAATGCAGATACTCAGACTCTGTCGTGCTTCATGCTTATGTCCAACAGAACTGTTTATTATGTTTACATAGAGCATGAGTAATGTGGAAAATACTAGAAATATTGCATCAGTGGTTTGGTTTTTGGACAGCATTGGAGATGGCGATGCAGCTGCTCACATCATGTCTGTCTTTCGAGGTATGCAATGTGCCATGAGGAGCCAAAGCCTTGCACTTTAGTTTGGGAAGTGCCCACCTCTGGCATGTTCGCTGCTTGCTCCTCTAGTGCCACAGTTATGTGCTTAGCTGTCTGCTTTTCCTCAATTTCCCTTGGAACTTGTAATTTTAGTACAAAAGCACATTTTTTGAAACCAATCCTGCTAATTCATGAGACTGTTCCCCCTCTTTCTCCTCCCCCCTACTCCCATCCCATCCCAACTCATCCCATCCCCCATGCTCCCACCAACGCATACCTCCTTCCCCTCCCTCTCACCCCGGTCACACAGCAAATATCCTGATGCTGCAGTTCCAAGCCTTGTGTCCGCCCCGGCCTATGCGATCCAATGGTCTCTGACCAAGTCCCTTTGTTCAGACGTTAATACAAAACACACAATAGGAAAAAAAAACAAAACAAAAGGAGCGAGACACAAGAGGGAGACACACTGCTGGGCTCCGGCTCTGGCCTCTGAGCCGTTCAACTAAGCTCCACAGCAGCTAGGCTCTTGGGGTACCTCTTTTCACACTCAAAGCTGCAGGTCCCAAGGTTTCCAAAGTGCATAGGAAAAGGAAGAAAGGAAGTAGACTACAAGCCTGTTTCTGTTTTAGGTTTCCCCCCAATCTTTTCCCTCAACCCAATGGCTGCTGGAGGATATTCTTGACTCCGACAGGTCTTTTCCCGTCTTCCAGTGAGACCCTGCCTGGGGACCAGGTTCACTGTAAGTCACTGGTTCCTCTCTGGAACATGGGTGATGGGTTTGGCAGTGAGGGGAGGGAGTGGAGCACGTTGTCGGGGGATGACAGGCTTTCGTCTCACAGCAAGTGGGGGGAGATGTCAGGGAAGGCAAGAGAAAAGAGCCAAAGGAAGCTGGTAAAGCTGGCCCTCTGCTTGATGTTTGTACTCAAGACTTCTCCATGGGGTGGCTTCAGTGTGCCAGCGCCAGCCTGTTGTCCAGTCACCTCTCGCAGCCCTGCTGGGAAAAAGCACGTGGCGGGGTGCTTTTTGCTGCTTCGTCCTCTGGCTGGCTGCCCTCGTGCCCGCTGGAGATCTCGGAGTCGCAGTCGAGCGCTTCATAGATGGTAGGCAGCGTGGTCTGCTGGCTGAGGCGCTTGCGCAGGCCCACGAGCAATGGCTGCGGCATGGAGGAGACATCCACGTTGTTGCCGAGGTCAACCCAGGCCAGGCAAGGGAACTTGTTCATGTCCTTCATGGTGTCAGTCAGCTCCTTCATGGTTGCCCGCGTCAGTCGGTTGCCATTGAGGGAAAGATGAGTGAGCTTGGGTAGCGCCCAGAGGAAGGGCAGCAGCAAGCGCACCATGTCATCATTCAGCTCGGTGAAGCTCAGGTCCACAGAGGTGAGGTGGTCCCCGTTGTTCTGCAGGTAGTAGGCCATGCGGTGGACATCACGCATGGTCAGGGGGATCCCTGACAAATCCATGGAGTCCTGGCTCACCTTCTTCTGCAGGCTGGTCTTCAGGCTAATGACGGAAAGGGGTAGAGAGGGAGATCATTAAGGGGACTGCTCTCATCCATCTCTCAGCCAAGTGAGAGGGCACTTGGGACAGGGGAGAACTAATTAAGAACACAGGCTAGCATTAAGCAAAGGGTTAATGGAGCTCATTGAGGAAAGCAGGAGGTTTGCACCATGCCTCAGGGCAGACTGTGTCCTGGGGCTTTCCTGTATATTTTTAGCACTTAAACTTTGCCAGAACTGGCTGAACATAGGATGCTACAGTGTCTTCCACTAGCACATTTCAAAGGGTTTGTCTATATGTGCGTGTACAGACACTTGTGCATAGAAAGCAAAAATAATCAAGGCAAGCAAGCTTTCCAGGTGCACTGGTTTGCACGGTGTGTGGGCTGTTTGTGTGCCACCTCTCCAGGTGAATGCCAGGCTGTATTGCAAACAGACTGTGCTGCACGGCTGCTGCAGAGGAGAGAGTGTTAAAAGGCTGAGAAATGGATATTTTACCAGGGGAACAATCTATAGGCAAACTGCACTCCAGGAGTGGATTTACTGCATGTCCCTTTAAAAGCCTTCCCAAGCAGCACTTGGTCACTAAGCAGCACCAGGGGCTGCCTGTTTGGGTCTCTGTGGTCAGCAGATCATCTGGGATCTGCTGCAGCTGTGAGGAGGCGGGGAGGGCAGAGGGGTGCTAAACGAAATCTAGAGAGATGGTTTCAGCCATTTCTTTTGTTGTCTGCCTGGCAAGTGGAGTGAGGAGGAGGTAGGCAAACTGTACAGCAGGCAAAAGCTGTGTTATGGGGCTGTTGGGTACGCAAAGGAAGCAAGATGTGGAGTTTTATGATGGGCTGTGGGTTTGTGAGAGGGCTGTGAGAAGTGGGAGCTGTGGGGCTATAGGAGCTGGTGGGAATATGTTGCAAGATTGAGAAGAAATGTGTGTTGGTGTAACACAGGAGAACCTAATCCCATAGTGTAAATGGTATTAGTCTTGCTGTACTTTTAGACACATCTAGCTTTAAGGACTGCCTCTAGTGGCATTAACCATGAGCTCAGGGGGTCTGTAAGTGCCTTGTTGAGCTTGGGAGGAGCAGGGTGGGTTAAGAATTAACCACCACTTTGAAGGTCCCCACTCTTCCTATCTGGCTCTCTGTAGTGTCCTGCACACCTGTGGCACAGCCAGTCCCTGAGAGCAATGGGTACATGGGGACATGCAATTTCCTCGGAGGAGGCTGCAGCACCGCAGGAGCTCCCGTGGCAGGTGAGAATGTCCCTACAAGCCTTAGTGTTGGCAGGCCCTTCTGTAGCTGTGGAAAGGATGTGAAGCTGCCCCTACAGCTTTGCTTTATGTTTGCAGTTCATGGCTTCCTGGAAGCTTCAGTCCTTAATAATGCCCTACGAGCATGTGATACCACAAGTGAATAAATGTGCCTCAGTGCAGGCAACAGCCCTTCGTGGACATATTGAACCTGTAGAAACGTGAGGTGGAAAGACCTTGTGGCCTGCCCTGTCAATTCTGAAGCCCAGAAATCCCTGCTCTGGGTTTAGCAGCACTTTGTTCAGGCTGCTCCTATGTGTCCTTGTGCTTCCTATGGGAATTCACTGGGTGAGGCTGTATATGCAAACAGGCATTTGAGCTAATAAGCTCTCATGGTAGAGGGGTAGTAACAGTATGGAATAACTTCTGTTCAGTCCTAAAGGTTAAGAAGAGCCTGATGTATTACTTATTAAATGTTTACACTTTACATGATGCAGATTACTCCTCCATGGATCACAAAAGGGGCAAGGGGAGGAGTGCTTGTCTGTACTGTCAAACAGCACAGACCGATGTATTAGTGAATCAGTACTGGTCTGAAAGCATACAAGCGAGTTCTTCAAAGGGCCTTCCCTTGTAGATCGTACTTGATATCTTTCCAATATCAGGGCCCCAGAGACAGGATTGTGAAGGATTAATCAACCACATTGCTTGTAGCAGTGGTGCAGCTGTGAACTGTGCATGCTACAGTCTGGATGGCACTGGGCTAGCCTCCCTTGTCCTGCTAATCCAAGGGATGCTTGATATCAGCCTAGGCTGCCTGGGAGCTGCATTTCTTCAACTCTCCTGGAAAAACAATGTGTGCTTTTTTTTTTTTTTTTTGTATAGTTTGTCACCAACCACTGGCAGTGGTGTAGCAGGATCTACCACAGGAGGGTTCAACTTGTATAAAATCTGTCAGGGACTGGCCTCAAAGCTGGAAGAGTCTCAGGTCTCCCCTGGCACAATGTTATCCCTTTAGCTGTGCTAGATGTGTTATCAAGGTCTTTGGTACTGAATACCTGTTTTCTAGCAAAGCCAAGTATCAAATGCACGGTTGAGGTGTGCATTTGTTTTGGTCAGTTTAAGCAGGGAGAAGTAAATCTTGAGTGTGAACCTGACTGCGTAGGGGGAATAGTCCCCTTTATACAGGAGGGGCTGGTATGAGAGATAAGACAGAAGCCTTGTCTGTACTGGTTTAGAGTAAGGCTTTGTTGGGGGTGTGGGTTAATACAGGATAAACAAGCAAAGCAACAAGCCTGTAATTACTTCAGTGCCGGTTTTGTGCAGACGCACCCTGTGGCTCTTTGAAATTCTCTTCCCCGGTGCTGTCACCCCATGGCAGATTGGGGGGGGGGGGAGCACAGAAAGGATACACACAGATAGGGGGACACCCCCGCCCCTAAGCCTTGTCTGAGTCTGTGCAAAGCCTCCTCTAACCTTCCTATTGTAAAGCTACAAGGAACAAGCCCTAGTGCTCCCAGTTTGGTGTGGGGATAGGAACCAGGCTGGAGTGGGGACCACTGGAGGGCACGTCTGAGCCGGCACCGCTCCCTCTGCCGGGCCTCAGCGTTCAGGTGCTGTTTTTCCTGCTGTGTCTGCAACAAGCAGCTTTCTTAACGGGGTAAGTTTTAATGGCTCTTGGGGTCCCTTTTGAATGACTAGGCTCTGAGTGCAAACAGTGGTAAGCAAGGGGAAATGTCAGAAGGACAAAAGCAACGTGCTTGTCTGTCTCTGCCTGTTAAGCCTCCCCTCCTGCTGACTGCTATGCAGGGACTGCAGTAATAAGTCATGGATCGTGCTCTGGCCAGAGCTGGTACCGTCTGCTGCTCTCCCCAGCAACAAGCCAATACCCCAAGGAGGCTTTAATCACGCAGACAAATTATCTTCCTGTAATTGATTCTCCAGACTGGACTGCTCCTGGCTCAATGTGCTTAAACCCTCCTGCCCTGTGCCAGGGCCTTCCCTCTCTCCTTTGCTGGCTTGTTTTTCTTTCCTTTCCTGTGTTTTTTCTGCTTCCTTTTGCCCTCATTGCTGTACCTGCCAGGGTGACTCTGGGCCTCCTGTCTCAGCGCTGTGGGCTCCTCCTGTGTTTAAGTTGTTCTCTTGCCTATAAAAATGCCTCTTGTAGGGATGTGTCTGTAGAAGCTTCTCCCTGGTGGATATAGCCCCTAATGCTGCAGCCCAGCCCTCAGCTCTCTGGTAAGTGCTGAAGCGTGAGATCTGATGCCCCACGCGTGCTGTGAGCCCTGGCAGCTCTGCTCCTCTCCCCCTTGGTGTTTCTGTGCAGCTCCAAGAGGTGTAGCTAGATACCATCTCTGGGGCATGGCACAGAATAGCTGCCCACTCCTTCTCTGTTGCTTTAGAGGAACCCAATCTGCTGTCAGAAAAGGGACAGGGAGATGTGGGCAGATGCTTTATTCTGAATTATCTGACACTTGGTATTTTTTTTTTTTGAGCTCTGCTAAACTCTTTCTCTTGAGTTGGGGAGGAGAGGGGAGGGGTCAAGATACACCAAGTGCTCAGACACTTGTGCAGCAGCTGAGAAAATGCCAGGTTTATTTCCAGGGAAATGGGTCTATTATCCCCTAATTTCTGCAAGTAAAATAGGCTTAAAGATTGCTTCAGCTGCAGCAGCTTTTTTTTCTTTGTGTGAGACAAAACGGCTACTTAGTGACACAGCTCTTGATGCCCGTGGGACTTAAGGGCAAAGGACTGGAAAGCACTGGAGGCTGGCTTAACCTAACGTTACCGCAACTGGTGCTGTGTGCAGATTTACAATTGTGGGGATTTGCATCTAACAAGGATCTGGACCCTGCATGCAGGGAAGCAGACTGTGTTTGTATTACCCGCAGTAAGCTTAGAGAGGAAACAAACCCCCACTCCCTCAGATGCTGGAGAAATGGCTGCAAGTGAGAAATTCTGTGAAACTTTGAGCAAGAAGCAAGGGCGATCAGCAGCCTGTCCCCCCACTGCGTGCCTGGAGCTGGGCGCAGCATCCAGCGAGGAACAGTGCCTGCCCGGCCTCCTGCGTGTAAGGGATGCGTGCCCTGCTTGTGACCCTAGTCCAGCCCTCCTGAGGGATGAGAGCTCTTCTAGGAACATCGCCTTGTTTCTCATGTGACCTAAACTATTCCTTGCATCATCCCAACTCCCTCCTTGGGGTCTGTCCTCTCTCCTGCTTAACCCTTCCCTAGGTGCCAACTCTACTCTTCAGCAGGCATTAGCCAGTAGTCCCCACGCTGCACCGTGAGCCTGGCCACGTGAGATCCACCCAGGATCAGTCTAGACAGCATGGGGGTCTGAGGGACCTGCAGGTGTCGAAAGAAGGTTATCTCTGTCAGAAATGTGGGCTGGGAAAGGGATGAAACCAGCTTGTACCTCCCAGTTTTCTGGGATAAAAATCTTCCTCTCCCCACATAAGGCTCAGTCACTGTTCCTGCCTCCTGGGAACTGGGCTAATCTAAGCAAATTCAGAGCTGTCTTGAGATGAAAGAATTAGGAGACCTGAAATTAATTGCTAGTTGTTTGTCTCCAGGACCTGTCCCGAGGTGCCTAACCCTTAGGCCCTCTTCCAGGTGCTTCTTTGAGTCCCTGAAGCCAAGGGCTCGGCACACTTTTTTATTAGCACTGAATCCCTTCAACTTCTTGCTCATCAGCTACATTACTTGGTGGCTGCAGGGAGGAGGTGTAATAGCTCCTGGTCGTTGCTCTGGTGGGAC